TTTCCCTACCTTGAATATCGATTTTGTACACCAGCAACAGGCAATGTAAGACAGGCATAACATGGTGCATTCTGTGCAGCATACATCGGTGGTGGTGCAGGATACATTTGTATTTGCGCAGGATCTAATGGTGGCATAGTAGGATATCGCCGTAAATTAGGGGTAGCTGCATGATTATGATGATGATGCATCGCTGGATGCTGTTCCTGTAATGGCATTGACTTACTAGTTTGATTTCCATTATCATTCAACATCTCCATTCCCGGAATAGCCTGAATAAAAATTTTGCAAAATATATTTTTTTACTGTAATAATTAAATAAAAATTGAGAATATATTAAAATATTAAATAGAAATAATTAATTAATACCTCATTTTCAACTGGATCTACAATGGCTGTGTGTGTTGTGCTTGTAGTACCATCTATTTTTTTGTCAGTAGAAATTTGATTTAAGCCATTAGTAGTTTGACTCTTAACTATACTTCGTAGTTGTCCTACTGCATTTGGTGTTAATCCTATTTCCCTCAAGTCTTCATCACTCATTCTTCGAATCTGTATTAGAAATATTACAAATAACATAAAAATTGTCATAATATATCACATATTATCATATTTACTGACTTAAAGGAATATTCTATTACACAGACAAGGTTTACGAAACACCATAATACCTGAATTGTTTCTGATAGTTCAACAAAAAAGTGTATTAAATAAAAATTAATTGATATCTAATAAAAAATTCATTAATATAAAAGAAACCTTTCAAAGCATCTTTTTTCTATGAAAAGTCTGAAGTCTTAAAATAATACTATATATATCCGATATAGATTCTATGAGTTGGTCAGCGAAATATACATAATTTTGTGTCGCAAAATAACATTTAATTTTCAATTACTTCTATTGTTATATTATTTTGTTGTACATTATTTATATTAATCTGTGTATTATTTTGTATATGGTACACTAAAGTTATATATTAGCGTGAATTATACTTTACATATAAGTTTCTTTAATATCAATAATTTTTTCATTTGCTACCAATTTCTGCTTTTTGTTAAACCTTCAGAACCAGCTTAAATATTTTGGTGTCTGAGCCACAGATCATTCTGTACATTTACAAACTAATCATTACCTTATTAAAGTAAAGAATTTTAATACTATATTTTAACATAAAATTTATTAAGAAATGTTTTATATAATTATAAATTATTATAGAACTTCACTATCTCACCTCATCAAGAGAAAAATTCTGCAAGTTGCCTTTGAAATTTGGCATTTCCTTTCCTAATGTTTCCCGTAAAGAATCACCAGAAATTGAAAATCGCAGTCGCGGTGGCGGTGGTTGTTTTGATTGAGGTGCTGCCGGAATTAAGGTAGAAGGGGTATTCTCGATGCTATTATGCCGTGAAAAAGTAGTAGAACTGCTGATAGACAAGGGAACAGAGCGTGATGGAAGCAATGGAGGTTGACTAGGATGACTTCTGTTCGTACCCAGTGTGGGAAGGGGAGGAAGGGAATTGGCATTTGAGCTGCAGATGCTTGTCTGACTGTTAGAGGCACTCGTTGACGTTGTTAAAGTATTTGAAGTAGATTGTATCACTTGCGAGGAGGTGTGCGGCATTGTATTATTTCTGCGACCCATTGGGGAATTGCTGCGACTAGGAGATCGAGACTGGGATGGTGACGACTGACGGCTGACTAAGGGGGAAGGTGGATAAGCCAACATGTCGCCAGTGTGATACATCAGTTGATTCCCCATCATAACCTGACCTGTCCATGGTGGCATATGATTTACTGATGGAAAGCCAAGGTGAAGATATTGTGTTGCACCACCTGAACCCATTGGCATTTGTTCTGGAGTCGGCAGGCATAGTCCAGGTGGAGGCATGGAAAGACCAGGAGGAACTCCAGTTACCATGGTATTATTTCTCATTGTCATTTCTCCTAAAAATAATATATGAAAATAAAGACAAATTCTATAAAGAAATGTAATTAATGTTAATATACATGTAATAAATATACACATGCATGTATCATATTACCATGATAAGCTTGCATTGGAGGTGGAGCCATCATACAACTGCCCTGCATCTCTGTGTCCATTAATCTCTCATTTGTATTCATACATGGTGTGCAACCCTAATATCATAACAGATAAAAACAAATAGAAATTTAATTTTATGTAAAATATTTACAATTTTAATAAATTGATATTTATATTCAATTTTAAATATAAATAGTTAAACCTTTCCTAAACACATAATAAATTTTAAAATTAAAAAAAAGTTTAGAAGTTGCTTAGTGTGCATTAAAGGTATTGTATATAGTAGTTATATTAAAAATTACATTAATAAATATATCAACATGAAAATTTATACATACTTGTGTTTGTTTATAAGATGAATTTGACTTTGAGAGATTCAAACGAGCTTCTTCTTCTTGAAGCTTTATATAAATATTACCGAAGACACTTTTCTGCTCATATGTAAATGCTGGATGATTTAAAGCCATTGTATACAATAAGAGCAGTTCTTCTAGAGGTTGATCATCCGGTGTAAAGGTGGTCCCATTTAATAGGTTAGAGATTTCTTGATAGTCAAAATTTGATAAATTCTTGTACAAGATTACAGCACATGCATAATTACAAGAATGTAATAATGCCATATAGAGAGCAAGTTTTCTACGTGTGCGTTTGTCTGCCACGCCTAAGGTTGTTAACTCGGCAAGATCAGAGGCACTGTTTGCATGATGTTCCGTGTCACGCAAATCATTGTAATCCCTTTTACCAATATCCTCTACACAAGTGCCAAGGTATCGTACTTCAAATGGCAGGCACATATTTAGTAATGTGCACATGACATCGATGCGTTTATAACTGCACATACATAAATATACTTTTCATAAATAATAAACATACTATAAATATTTCTTTTTTCCATTAATGTGAAATAATTTGCTATAAGAGACTGATTTTTTATAAAACAAAAAAGATAATCAAACAACACCATACAAGAATATTAAAAATAAAAGTTATTAAATATTGACACAAATAAAGAAATATTGCAAATATCAACAAAGTATAATAAAATAAGATTAGTTAGTTGTAAATATCTTTTATGAATGAACAAAACATTAATTTTACATTATAGTATTTCATAATTTGTTCTACTTACATTTATATGTAAAACATCCATATATATAAGTAGTTTGTAAATTTTTTTCATAAAACAATTTTATTAGAAATTATCAAATAAAATGTAATCTAATAAAATAATATTGATTATCCAATATTATTATAATTATAATTAACTGCATCCAAATTTATTAAAATTATAACAAAATAACAACTGAATTATAATCTACATATGTATAATTCTTATTAAAACGTATACATTTTGTTGCAGTAGTATCTAATCTTTAGATTTTTAATAATATACTTTCTGAAATTTGATTAAAATACACATTTAAATGGAAAAATAAATGATACTAATATTTATAAAAATGTAAGATATATGTGGTACTTTAAATTTTTAAAATGAAAATACGTGAAGAAGTTTAATTACTAATTCATTATATCTTCAATACACACAAAATTAAAGGAAAACAGTTGCTACCATACTTGGTACTTCTATGCAATAAACAGAAAAATTAAATATGGATAATGAAGTAAATTAAACATTAATGAAAATTATCATTTACATAATTTCTTAATTATTAATGTATTTATGATAATTTCTGACACAGAATGAAGATAAAATTGGTGAATGTTCTTTTTGGTTAGTTCGTAATTTGGTAAGAAGGATGAAGAGGTCATAGTGAAAAACGGAACGGCGTGCTGAGAATAAGAGAACTATAGCAATTTATTTTCGAACAAGGAGAATATGGCATTAATTAAGGAAGAAACTGATAATACTTCTATTACCTGGACAGATTCCCAAACCATGATACCACGTTCTCCTTACACACCATTGCCAGACAACATTGATACCACTTGGGCTGAAGAAAGCGCCGATGCGGACAGCTTTGGCGCCTCGGGTGTTGCTATCAAATGACAATCACGGCGGGGTCTGGTACAATAACGAACCAGTTTCAAAGCGTTCACGAATGTGAAAGACTTGTTAAAATCCAAAGGCAATCAGCCGTGGAGAGCACTTCAAACGCACAGAGGCGGCAGCAGCAGTACGGCACACTGTGAAGTATCCACATTCGCGGCAGCAGGCAGAGGCAGGCACGACCGAACGATCGGTGAAAACGACAAGCGCCAACGAACGAATCACACGTTCATCAAAAACTTCGCGTAAACAAGCACACGGTCGTTCCGTTAAAAATAAAATTTCACCTCTGCAATTGTTCCTACTGCGTACATTAATTCTTACGAGATGTTCCAAATCGAAAAGTCGAGTCTCGAGATCCGTTCACATGCTCGCGTTAAAAAAGGCATCAGGCACTTGCTACTCGAATCTACGATAAGGAGGCATTTTCATGTATGTAGCAATCACACGTGTCAACCATCGCATTGGTTATCTTTTTATTCATCACCAATTAAAAGAACATATTAATATTGCATATGACGCGTTAAAATTTATATTTGTAAAATATTGTGTAATAGTTGGTAAAAAATTACCATTCTGAAAATTATAATCAATTATCTTTAACTATTATACAATAAAAAATCATACATAGATATCACATTTAAGCATTGTCATTAGATTTTACTATTGCATATGATTTTATTTTGAATTATAGTTAACCTTTTGAATTCATATTATTGATAATCGTTTATGAAATTAAAAAGAATTTAAAGTTAATCAAATATAATAAATATAAGATAACATTTAAATTTAAATAAAATTATTATCTATTAATTCAAATAAATTGAATGTTTTTTATTATTAAAACTTTTCGTAATATTAGCATAACAAGATTATTATTAATATTTTATTTATATTTAATGCACATGTGATTGAAATATATATTAATGTATTTTTTTTATGAATAATTTTAATGGTAGGATTTATGTACAATAAATTAAAAGAACAACAAATTTAATGACATTTTATATAATTGCTTGACCAGAACCAAAGAATAAATATACTATACATCCTAATGCATCTATTATAGCTATAAATATAAATACAACAGGATAGCTGTGTGTTACATGTAGTATGTATCCAGAAAAGCACACTCCAAGAAATCCTGAAAATATATTATTATTACTTTTTCTAGTATAACAATAATACATTTACTGCTATATATACCAGGTATAGCACCAACAGTGTTCATTAATCCAAATACACTCCCAGAATGTTTTGGTGCCAGATCTGAAGGATTTACTGCAATTGCATTATTATGAAAACCTGATCCACCAATTATAAATGCAAGACAAATTATTGCACTTTGAAAAGTTTCCACTTTTACTGAAACAATTTTACATTTAATTTTGTTATCCAATTTTTTACATGCTATCATATATACATACCTAAGAATAATAAGCTTATGATTTCAGTTAAAAAACATATTGTTTCAATTATTTTACGTGTCACTGTTATAGAATACCCTGCTTTTATTATTCTCTCAGACAGAGCTTTACCCAAAAATGTACAAGGTAACATAGATAACCAAGGTACCATGTTCACAACCCAGCCCTACATATAAAGAACAAAAATTCTTTATAAATTCTTAACATATTCTGTAATTAAATAAGTTGAATATTTATTAATAATTAACTACCTTTACTTCAGGAAATGTGTCATGAAAATACATTGGCATCCAAGATAACAATACAAAGAAACAATTATTTTGACAAGCATGACCTATTACACATGACCTGAAAATAATAATTTACATGTAGAACTTATACATTTATAAATTTTTAACTTCAATATTTTTATAAAGCTATATAACTTTATATACTTTTTATATTAATACTTGTGTCAGAAATTGTGTGACTTATGATAATTGAATTCAAATTGATCCCATGCACAATGATTACCAGAATGGAGGCTTTTTTAAAAGCTTCAACCAAGGCAAAGAGTAGTTAGTAGTTGATTTAGTAGAAGCTGCTTTTTCCTTAAAGGGTAGAGTATGGTAACTCAATAGCAGTGTCCATGCCAAGCTCAAACCTCCTAAAATAATAAATTTATTCATAAAATTTAATATGTACTACAATTCATATTTATTAATAATTTATAATTTTAAAATTACAACAAAAAATCTGAATAATAAATATAACAAATTCTCTTATTTGTTAATATATTTCTTTATCCACTTGAAATGAAGAATGTTTTTTATGTTTCCATTTGATAGTAATTTCCTTTTTTATATACTTCCTCTTCATAATCTCAGTCTGTATAAAGAACTTATGTCTATGAATAGAAGATACTGTTATATGTAAAAAACATAATGATGATCATTTATAATGATAGTCAGTTATTAAGTATTTATGACAAATTCAATATTGATTATTTAAAAATGATGTAACGCGTTAAATAAAATTCATTATACATATTCCAATAATTGTTACGTTTTGTATAAACAATTTAAATATTATATGTAAATTTTTATGCAATAAATTATTAGAACTATTAGAAAATATGGTCTGTTGAATTTGGAAGTTTTTAATTTGTCATATTATATTGTCATTTCCTGAGTTTAAAATGCTATATAACAAATTCACAAATATATAATATGCTAAATATAAATGTGTTAATAGAGCAGTGAAAGTAATTTTTAATCATTTTTATATTAGTTTAATCTAATTAATACCTAATACTAAAGGAACAATTATTATATTTTCTTCATGTCAAAATATGAATTAATTAAATAAGTTGTTTATATTAACATAAACAATATATAATTATGTACTTATTTACCTAATGTTTGAAAAACTGTTATCCAATTATAATGTTCCAACAGATAGGAACCTAGAGATCCAGTGAGCAATGTGCCAAGAGCAGACCCTGATGTTAATAAACTAAAGAATGAAGCTCTTTCTGTTTCATGCAATCGTTGGCTTATTAAACTAATCATACTAGGAAAATGCATTCCTGTAATACATAATTTTAATGTATATAAAGAATATATCATTTTTAATATATTTCTGTGATTTAATTTACTAATTTTACAATAATACCTTGAAATGCACCATTTATCGTTCTTACTGTTGCTACCAATATTATAGAACTATCACTTCTTGAAAAGAGTTCTATGACTTCTGGCATAAAAAATGTTGTCATAGACCATCCAAGAGCAGATATTAATAATACTTTTTGACCTCCAATTCTGTCACTAATGTAACCACTAGCAACTTGTGTTAATGTATAACCCCAAAAAAAACTTGATAATATTACTCCAGAATCTGGTTTGGACCATTGTTTTTCTTTACTTATAATTGGCATTAATAAAGGAACAGATGTTCTTGTAGCATATATGAGGCAAGTACCACACAATAATGATAAAAACCATTTTCGCCTCTCCTTCCTAAAATTTACTTTATAATTTTAGTATATATTACTAAATTTAAAAAATAATTCAATGAAAGAACTAGAAAATTTTTTGAAATTATATATCTTAGTATAAAATAATTACCTAGACCAAGATGAATTTGCTTTTTCATCTTGAGTTAATCCTAAAGATATTTGCATTTGCATGTCTCCTTAATTAACTTTGTTCATAAAAAATAATATTGTTTTCATATGTTCAATACGTATAACTTATCATATACATGTTTCTGAAAGTATTGTTTGTGGATTACTAATAGAAAATTAAAATAAAATCATAACTTACACTCTGTAAATATCACGAAAACCCATGTAACTATAAATTTACAACTTCAGGTCATTATTAACTTTATTGAAATGTTTAAAGTAAGTCAATTTCCTATGACTGCTTATTAATAATTTTAACAAAGAACAACATACTCGTGAAAATTTAAATTAACACAATAATTGCAATCTTTTAATTGTATGTCATATACGCACATAATCTGGAGGTATGTTACTATTGTTTACTTTTGCTGTTTAGTTCAACATCGGTTCGATATCAATTTCATTTCTTTGAGGCAAAAATAGATTGAAGTTGCATTATTTGAAAACTTCATGGAGTAAATATAGCCAATAACACGAAGTTATTTTTTCGAAAGATGTAGGCACGTAAATATATAATAATGTACGTGTATATATGTATACAAATAATGATATTTATGCATGTACATATATACATAATAAAAATACATTAATTTAAATGTCTCTCTCCCTCTCTTCTTCCTCACTCCCTCTTTCTCACCTTCTCTTTCTCACCTTCTCTTTCTCACCTTCTCTTTCTCACCCTCTCTCTCTCTCTCTCTCTCTCTC